CGCAGGTGGGGGGCAGGCAGAGAGAGATGGGGGACAGAGGATCCGAAGGGAGGTCCGCGCTGTCAGCACAGAGCCCGACGCGGGGCTCGAACCCATGAACTATGAGATCATGACCTGAGCGGAAGTCGGACGCTCAACCGACTGAGCCACCCAGGCGCCCCAAGAGCTGGTGATCTTCTAAAAGTGAGGGAGGATAGCCAGCTACAAAATCAAGACGTGCCGCGAAGCCCGAGAGGAAAGGCACGAAGGAAGCAGAACCCGAACACGTGGTGACGGAGTGCTGAAGCCAGAGACGGATGACGTGCCCCCAGAGCACACGGACTTTTCAACAGGAGCCACCGAAGCCAGCGGACAAGGAGTCCTGGAAATAAACAAGTGGCAAGCTGGAGTCTGAATCCGGCAAGAAGTGCACTTCAAAAGAGGTCAAATAAAGACGTTTTGGAGAAATGAGCTCCGCGGACGCTGGCCGCCACTGGCCCTCACTCGAGGAAACAGTACCTGGCGTCCGTCCTTCAAGCGGGAGAACGACCCAGCCCGGCCCAGAGGCAGAGGACGGGTGTGCAGGATACAGATCTCACGGGGAGCGGTTTGCAAAACGGTAACGTGACACCTGGGGCTTCGACACGGCAGAGAATTGAAGTGCCCGACGGTAGCGCAGAAGTCGTGAGCGGAACAGACGCGCTGTGAGCGGCTGGCCCGCCGCGGTGTCCACGGGCCTAACCCCCAGGGCCTCTGAGGGCGACCTTACGCGGTGAAGGCACTCGCAGGTGCGATTAAGCTAAGGATCTTGAGGTGGGGAGATGATCCGGGATGATCCGAACGGGCCCTACGCGTCACCACGGCGTCCTCGCGAGGGGGGCCGAGGGGGATCTGACAGGGAGGAGGCCGCGCAAAGACCTCAGAAGAGAGAGGCGGTCAGATTGTTCTCAAGTGTGTGCTCGGGGCGTGTTGTCACTGCTGTGCTAAGACGGGGAAATGATGGCCGTGAGGGAAGAAGTTCACACTCCCGTCCCGAGAAGCAGGAGGCCAGACGCGTGGTTCGGCGCCACACAGAGACACGAGGGCGGGGAGAGATCGGTGAGGGGCCTCACACGGTGCGTCTCCATTGCACAGAAGCTGGACGCTTCCCTCGGTGCAGGGAAGGGCGGCGGGGAAGCTTTTAAAGTCGGTGTGAGTTGGGCAAAGGGCCCTTAGCGAAGGGAGCTTAAGGCCCGGGGCGAGACAGTGACTGACTGGGGTCCATTTATCGGACTGGGATACGAAAGAGTGAGGAGCCCACTACGTGTCTCAGTGAAAGCGGCTCTGTGGAAGGTCTCAGGATGTGACAAGTGACCTGTGTCTCTGTTACCGTGTCAGTGACGCCTGTAACTCCAAAGGGAATGGGTATGTCTCGGCAGGACTCGTATCATGGCCTCGGCATACCTGGAGACATGTGGGATTTTTGGTGGTGTTTTCGGCATCTGCGAGGCGCGGGACGCCAGCCTTCTTCACTCCGAAGGGGACAGTTCTCCGGCAGCGGCCTGACAGTGCGGAGTCAGCGTGGACACGGGCCGTCGTTGGCCAGAGCGTCTGCTGCTGAGACAACCGCGTGGAGTCTGGCCAAAGGACCGGCCCTTGGGTCCCGTCCCCGCTCAGGGACGCCCTGGCAGCCACGCTCCCCCGGGCGCCGCCGCACACGGTGGCCCGTGGCCCGCCGGCTCCCGGGCCGCCGGGGGTCCGGGGAGGAACGTGTTGCCGGCGAACCGTGAACAGGACCGAGAGCTGCTGGCCCCTGCGTCCTAGGGACTCTGTCCCAGGAGTCCCCCCGGAGGAGAGCGCAGGCTGGGTCAGGGCCTGCGGGCCCCGGGCAGCCTGGAGGGGGCACGGGGTCCTTCCGGGTGTGGAAGCGGCCCCGGCCGATGGGCCGCTGAGACGGGCACAGATCCGATGTCTCGGGAAACAGCACGGCGTTGACCCTGACGGTCGGCTGCGGCACCGGCTCGTGCAAATGTACTGTCAGCTGCCCTCAGGGTTCCCAGGTGGAACAACAGGCAAATTGGCCCTGTATTTTCTCCCCTTATGTGGTTTTTTTCTTTCTCTCCCCCCCCCCCCCCCCCCCCGTTTTAGGCTTTTCATTCCTGCGTCAGGGGGAAGCGGCAGAAGGGCCTGTGGGGGCCTCCCCTGGGCGGGCCTCAACTGCAGCGGCTCCCCTCCCCCCTGCTTCTCCTCTTCAGAACCTTATTTTTCCTCTTTTTTACAAATATTTTTTATTCAAAACATGTTTTTAACATTTATTTATCCTTGAGAAAGAGACAGAGACAGAGGGCAAGCAGGGGAGGGGAGAGGGACAGAGAGAGAGGGAGACACAGAATCCGGAGCAGGCTCCGGGCTCCGAGCCGTCAGCACAGAGCCCGACGCGGGGCTCGAACCCACGAACCGTGAGATCGTGACCTGAGGCGAAGTCGGCCGCTCGACCGACGGAGCCCCCCAGGTGCCCGTTTTCTCGTAAACAAGATCTGGCTTGTATCTCTGGGCAGGTAAAAACCTTCTCCCCCTGACTGTTTTTGCTTACTTTCTCCATTCTCGACGCTCTGGCATTTGGGCCTTGGGCCTGGAGAGGGTGCCCCTCCTGGGGCGAGTCAGTTCCTGGAGAGGGCCTTCGCTGCAGACGGACCAAGCCAAGCCCGCACCCCCACACGCCCTTCATCTCTCTCACGCGCCAAACCAACGACCCCTCCCCCAAAGTCACCCCATGGCCAGATGCCGGACACCCAGGGACCACCGCTGTAGCCTAGGCCTGACGAAATGGTTCAAACTACCCAATCCTAAACTTAAGTCCCTGAGCCTGCTGCCCACCCGTCCCTTCCCGCGAGAACCCCAGTGAAGGGCAGTTGTTTCCATTTCTGTCCCCTTATCATATCTGATTAAAACGAATCCCGGGAACAAATTTCAGAGCAAAGATGCCATACTTTGATGACGGAGGAAGGGGTCATGAGCACAGGAACGCAAGGAACACAGCTCTAGAAGGTGGCGAAGGCCAGCCGTCGTCCTCTGTGGGGGGCGTGGTCCCGCCCATCCCTTGAGCACACGCAGCGGGCTTCTGCTATCAGATCCGGACTGTGGAGCCACCACGGGAGGCAGCGTGGCACGGGCCAAAGACGGACAGGCACCACAGGGGCACAGCAGGTCCACACAACGGCATGGATTCACACAGGGCCTTGGTCATATGGTCGTATGATTTTGTAAAGCTTGCTAAAGGGAGATACTATGAGCACAGCAGTTCCCACACTGCCTCAAGCTCCCCGGTCACTTCCCCTGTCACCGGGGTGGTTCGG